TTGAGGTGGTTAATAGATGAGTTTAGGTGAGGTTGAAACTGCAGTCCGCTCCAGGTGGGATGAGCATATCTTCGGAGATTCAGAGTCAGAGCGACATTTCCACTCAACTACAAAGCGAAGATGAAGCATTCAACGCAAGCCAGGCCTCTCTCAATTAATGTTTTTTTATTTGGATAGTCGGTCAAGCAAACATGTGTTTGCCATTTAAATCGATGGCCCTACTTACTTTTGATATAAGTAGTCTTCGAGACCACCGATAATTCTTTATTAAGAAATTTTGTATGCAAGGCCAAGTGAACTCCAATGGCATCGTGAGGAAAAACTCAGCTTTCAGTAGCTACAACACCTTAATGAGGCCGATTCATGTGATTGTGGGCAAATTGGACAAGCACTACTTCATCACGTCAAACGAAACACACTTTGACAACCGATACAATCTTGTTTACGGTTGATAATCGGATTGAGAGGAAACTGGTTTCGTCCCACCGCCTGATTTGCCACATGAGCTCATCTCAAACAACGCAAGTTCACCACCCAAAGGTCCGGTTTGTGAAGTGGGCACACAGACTGACTATCGTCTTGTTTGGAGCTAGGAATAGCCACGACTAAGAAGACAAGTCTACTCGGGACGTTCAACGAAAATAGTCGGCATCACGACAATTTTGCACCTCATCTTCGTCATCACAACGACGCGATTGGACACCGGGTTGTGAGCGCCATGTGACCAGTTGATACCGCATGGCCAGACAGCCGCATAAGAGGCCATCATTGGGTCCCAGATTGGGTGTGACTTTCAAGGCAAGCCGAGCCGGGTCTCTCCTAATTCATCTAATCGACGGACAAAAATACATTTCCATATGACTAGTCTTCAAGACTAATTAATTTTTAATTGAGAAATTAATTAGCCCAATTCGATTACGGGCATTTAGGACTAATAGACAGTTTTCCGTGACAAAAGATGGCCCAAAGCAAGGTTGACTATAGTTTCGACCTCGACTAGGTCTCGTCAGTACCTGCAGCGGGATTCGAACCCGGTTCGTGGGTGTCAGAGCGACATTTCCACTCAACGACGAAGCGAAGAGGAAGCATTCAAGGCAAGCAAGGCCTCTCTGAACTAATATTTTTTATTTGGATAGTCGGTCAAGCAAACATGTTTGCTATTTAAATCGATGGCCCTACTTACTTTTGATATAAGTAGTCTTCGAGTCCACCGATAATTCTTTATTAAGAAATTTTGTATGCAAGGCCAAGTGAACTCCAATGGCATCGTGAGGAAAAACCCAGCTTTCAGTCCCTACAACACCTTAATGAACTGGACTGACTGATTTATTTATTGTTGAGCTTACTTCTATTTCGAGTGAAAGCGTTTGGTGAAATGATTCAAGGGTCGATCATGCCAGAACTGGAACATTCTTATTGACACTGTTTCCGAGACGATCGTCTTGGATTCTGGAGAAAACACGCCAATCTTTCGCCCGTCATCATCATAGCAGAGAAGGTACCATCCTTCCAACCATATTCAAGCTAACAAATCAAGAAAACTCACCGGCTCATCCATAAATGCTGTATACACACTCTATAACTAATCTCTTTGATGAGGTACAAAGTGATTTGTTTAATTGAAGTCACTGTCAACCTCGAATCATGTTAGCGTGTGTGTGTGTGTGTGCGTGTGTGTATATGTCTTTATATGCTCGCATCTGTACGAGACAAGTAGTTATGGCTCAAAATAATTGGAATGCAAAATGTAACGTCTGTTCTCGACAATCAAGGCTTGATAACCACCATTTGTATATATTTTTTATATATTTGCATATACCTTAACCAGCACTCTGATTGTGCAACGTCTGGTACACGTTTGGTTATGCTGATGGGCTTATTGTCTTGATGCCAGAGAGAAAGAGTGGACTAAGAATTACAGAAAATTGACCGTCATCTAACCTCATGAACTTTACGATGCTACTTATTTTCGATATGAGTAGTCTACGAGGCCAGCAATAATTCTGATTGTTGAAAAGCTCAACTTTCAGTCCTTACATCCCCCTAAGCGGTCTGAACTGACCAGACTCTTGAGAATGTATTTGTTAATGCAATGGACGACTTGGCATGTTGTCTTTAGGTCTGATTTGTGGGACTATCAGCAATCCTTGAACACGTGATTTAGAGCGATTCAAGTGCCAGGTAAACAGGTACTTAATTGAGAAATTAATTAGCCCAATTCGATTACCGACATTTAGGACTAATAGACAGTTTTTTCTGACAAAAGATGGTCCAAAGCAAGTTTGACTATAGTTTCGACCTCGATAATCAAGGCTTGATAACCACCATTTGTATATATTTTTTATATATTTGCCCCCGAAAATGCCCACGTCGGAAGAAATTAGCCCCGCCGGCAAATACGTGTCTATCTCATCGAAAATCTACATACAAATTGTAAGTTTGAGTGGACGCGACTGTTTGCTTGACATTCCCCTCTGCTCTGTGGCTTATTGGTACGTGTAGTTGAGAGGCGGAGAGGATGACCGGTTGCTACGAGATTCGGACGAGGTGGACACGGATGCCCGGATGAGTTGAAGCATACAATTCCGTCCAGTCCGGACGAGATGGTCCTTTGTGGACATTCACTGACCTCAGGAGGCCTGGTCCGTCTTTTGTGGGAGGATTCGGCAATCTCACCTCAAACTCACGGTCGAGAGGCATGCGCCAAACCGACATGTCAACTGCGCTACCGAACTGCTGTCCGGATTCACTAACGCAACGCTTAGTTGCGACGGAAAGGGTTGGAGGAGATTTGATGTTCTGCTTTCGGCTGTCTTCTGCAAAATGCGCCTCGGCGAGCAAATTGACATCGTCCAAAGTTGGACTTTGGACTTGAATCCCTCAACTTATTTGCACCTTTCGATCGTCGGCAAGACGTAAGGATTTGCTCGTGGACTAAAAGAAGCAACTTGTCACGCGGTTTCCAACCTCGTCCAGTTAGACTCGGCGGTGCTAATTGCACTTTCCACCTTCCTTGATCGATCGGCGCGGAGCTTCTGCCCCTCGGAGTTGGAGGCCAACTCCAACTGACACCGTCGAGAGGGAACTGATCTGAAGCGAGAAGCAGACTGCCGTTTCTCGATGACACACAATACTCAAACAGTGATCGAAACACGCCAATCCAATGCAATCTAATCATGGCTTCAGGTGATTTATTTTTGTATTGTTTGTTTGTTTGTTTGTTTGTTTGTTTGTTTGTTTGTTTGTTTGTTTGTTTTTCTATTTGTCTCTTATGTACCCAGCTTTAGTTGCTCAATGATCCAGAAGAGGGGCTTGCTTCGTTTCGTTATCAAGTGGAGCAGGATGCAAAACCCGATGGTACACGATGTGTCTGCATGTGTGTTGGTGTGACGGTTTGT